ACATGATAGAACAAAACAAATCGAAGTTGACAAGCATTTTATTAGAGATAAAGTCATCACAGGCAAAGTATGTACTCCCTATGTCAGCTCTGATAACCAACTTGCAGACATCTTTACAAAATGGCTAAACCATTCTAGACATCCTGATCTCTGTGACAAGTTGGGCATGATTGATATCTATGCTCCAACTTGAGGGGGAGTGTTGACAGATATTGTTGTACACGGGTTTAGTACCACAAGGGTACTATTGTGATTTCCCCATATTTTAGGTTGTACGACCAGACTAGCATAAATAATAACTACTACACACGCCTGCAGTACTTTTTTGGGGCTTTCAGTCCTCTCGCCTATCCTCTCTTCTCTTCCTCTCTTCCTCCTCTCTTCTCTTGCTCTTGCTCAACACCATTCATCTAATTCCAAACATTGTTTTAGTCTATCACACAATCATAGTCAATTAGCTTGTCAAACCAWACTTGCTACTTTTACAGAAAACATGAGACCTAGAATGCCATCCTCTCTGAGTAAAAGTCATTAACCAACTCATAAATACCTTTTGATAGGTGGGTGAATCTTGGATAATGTTCCCCTGAAAATAAGTTTCACTTGTTGGTCTAACCTTTGAATTTATAACCAAAACATGGATGACCAAAGAATGCAGCATTAACGGCAAGATAGAAGTTTCGGATACTGGAACTCTTTGACATGGTCAGACATTTTGAAGAGGTGGTTCATGATAATTTGGCTCACATGTGTACCACAAGAGAAAATTTTGCATAAAAGAGAAATTTTACCATTTGACCATATCCACCCATTTTCTGATATGCATGTATATGTTCACACATGTATAATATATCATGTCTGAATCATATTTGTGCAAGGCAAGGCCATATGCAATCTTCAGCTTTAGAACAGCTCCAATTATTATTATATAAATTGAATATAATTCCTTTTCTTTTCATTCATTACATTTGACCTCTCCAATTTTTTAGTTTTCATCTTTTTTTTTTTTTTACATTTTCGGGACTCATTTTGTATTGAATTTGAGTGTCTCACAACCTGAAGGAATTTGTGGGAGGGGTCATTACCATGTTTTCATAATCTATTTCCTCTCATTCCTTCAAGCAACACCTTTTATCCTTCACTTAATGAAAGAAGTTAGAAGGTGTCGAGTTGCCTGTGAGGTGCCGAGCTGACCAGGTGCCAACCTGTCTGTGAGGTGTCGGGCTGATCAGGTGCCGAGCTGGATTGATGAGCTTCGTTGCTCTTTAAAGACCTGCAAGGAATTAAATGTCAGAGGAACCGGGGTGGCTAACCCGGTGAGGTCGCTTCGAGACTTAAATCAGTACTCTCATAGTAGACTGCGAGCTAAAAATCACACAGTATGAGAGCTAGAATTTTCTTACTTGCTTATAGGGTTGGTGCCTTTATACAGGCATTGTTTGGCGTGGGCTTCACGCACCATATCCAAGATCTCTACGAGGTCGTCTAAGTGGTTTGAGATTCTTGGAGGTAACTGCCATGCATGTTGACCACCCTCCAGATCGCTCGACACGTAGGCCAACTTCCAAGGATCGTGGGAGTGTTTGGATATGCATGTCGAATTCGTTGGCGAGCGCGTCTTGCAAGTCGCCAATCGGCGCATGTGCCAAGTTGCCAGGTCACGCCTGTGCCAGGTTGCCAGGTCGCGCCTGGGCCAGGTTGCTAGGTCGGTACCTGTACCAGGCTGCGCGTAGGTCGCCGGGTGGGCGCCTTAGAGCTATGATTGCATTGCATCAGCCTCGTGGTGTCGGTCACCCACTCGCACGGGAGCCTTGGAAGGCTCGACCAGCAAGGGTGCCCATGTAGTCTGTTGGCCGCCAACTTCTGCGGAAGCCATGAAGAGCTCATCTTTGTAGAGAGGACCTCGCGAAGAGGACTGATGAGGTTTTATTTTCTGAGAGAAGAGGACTTAGCTTTTTGTAGGATGAGAACTTAGCTTTTGTAGAATGAGAACTTAGCTTTTGTAGAATGAGAACTTAGCTTTTTGTAGCGTATTCCCATAGACAACGCCAATTGATGTAACCATTTTCGGTCACGTATCATTTTTTTTGGGCTAAGTACCTCGTCATCCCGTCTGCTCCCAGGTGGCCGATGACTCAGAGGCTGAAGCGGAGCTCCCTGGTGTAGTGCAACCCGGTTGCTCCCTGTAAGAGATGATCTGCTCATCTTTGTAGACGGCGGGAACTGGTTGCTTGTAATAACTGAATCAGAGAACCCGGGGTGGCTTACCTGGCGGGGACACTCCGATGATTAAGTCAACACTTAATAGTGAGCTGAGAATGATATTAGAGAATGAGAGAGCTAGAGAGTAGGGGTTACCATTCTTTTTCCTCTCTTTTCCCCCCTTTTTTCCTCGGGGGGTGAGGTCTTTATATACTGGAGTCCTTGTGGGTTTGGTGGAGCAGTTCCTGGATTCCCGCTGTGATGGGACCTATTTTCGTGTTAGGTGGGGATAAAGCCACCAACTGGTAAAGTGGCCCATTTCCGCCTAAATCGGGGAGTGGGTGAGCTAATATACCCGTTACAAGTCACAATCCCGTAAAATGCGGGGTACGGTGTTGAGATCCTTGGAATTATCATGCGGTGGTCGGTTTGCCTGTGAAGTGCCGTGCTGTTTGGGTGGCGAGTTGCTTGTGGCGAGTTGCTTGTGACGAGCTGCCTTTAAGTGGCGAGCTGACGAACTGCCTGGTGTAGTTAGCACTTAGTTGGCATGAGGTGCCAGGTGTCATAATGTCATTGGAGGGCCAAATCCGCCCTCATCATCTACCACTTTGTCACAAATTGATTTCATCTACTGCACCATCAACATGCCAACTAAGTATTAATTTATATGTTTTGGACATTATATACATTTTGTATGTGGGGAAATGCTAATAACATTATTGTAATTAATTATATTATTTTTCAATATTTTGATATCTTTATATTAAATCTCCAAAAAGTTTAACATTTGCTTGAAAGGGAGGTGAATTATTAAAATATAACAATTATATTATTTTTCAATATTGTGATATAAAGTATATTTTACTGTTTTGTGTGCCATTTTATTGCCTTTATTTGTGTTGTTGGCTTGTTTTATAAGTTTACTCGTCCACTCAGGTGTCACATAAGGCATTCACTCTCTCTAATATCCTATGACCAAGATCGGCTTCTATCAAGGCAAATCTGTGCCCACGCCATTTTAACAGCATTTTTCAACCTTGCATCGGAAATATCTTACCATTAAATAAAACATACAAGTATGGTGATATTCTCAATGCAAGGCAATAAAAACTGCTCGTATGGGCTTTGCCTTGACTGAAGACGAACTCCCTATGACCACATCCCGCCACACTTTCACGTCTCACCTGTTTGGGGGGAGTTTGAGGCACCACCCAATTATTAAGATTTTTACTATAATATTAAGACTTACACTTCTTCCTCCCACCCCATGTTGTTGTAAACTTTAGGAATGTTTTTATAAATGTATTAAATATAGATAAACGTTTGTGTAGAGGTGGAGAGGGAAAAATAAATAAATGAATTAAAAATTTTGATGGGTGTCTAGATATGACGTGAAGGCAAGGTATTGGCATTATATAATAAAGATCAAAAGCTTCTTAGACATGTATTTAATTTAACTCAACCTCATTAAACCCATGGTATATTCATCGAATGTCCAAATCGATAATAAGGTACCGTATGACTCCAAACTGGGGTCATACAGTCTGGCAATACATTGTGACAAACAATAATCAATTATAGTAACACAATTATTTGTTATGTTTAGAGTTAACATGGGTTACTATTTACTAATTCAAACCCACCCCCTAAGAGGATAAATAATTAACCAAGCTGCACTCATATCTAGTGGTATGGAAACAACTCTCAATTTTGCTTTCTTTCACCAAAAATTTCATTTTGGCCCATAATCTAATTTCATCTCTCTCTCTCAGTCTCTCATTTGTTTCAAAATTTCAAACCTTTACAAGCATGGGTTGTACCAATAAGGACGGCAACGATGATGACAATTACTATGACAACGATTATGACACTTAAGTAGATTAATTAATTAATTTATAAATAATAATAATTTTATTTATATCATTTGCATCATATTATATTAATTTAAAATGGAGGAATAGGTGACATGGGTCTGGGTGTTAAGTGATTAGTAGTTAAGAGCAAAATTGGCTCACTCTTTGCTCCCATTTGGTGGCGGCCTACAACATGGTAAGGCCCATGGGGGTTCTCTTATGGGCCAAGCAAGCGTCTGGCAGCTCAACTTGTCCCTATTATAGGACTTTTAAGCAATTTGTTGCTTCGAAGCTTTTTCAGTGCAGGCAACTAGGCGCAAGGCACCCCCCCATAACTGTTAACAGCTCTCAAACAATAAAAAGTCTGGGACGCCTGGCACAGTATGGACATGACTCATATTTGGGCTTATTGCCCATTTTTTTTTGCACAAGGCATCATATATTAATCCGTCTGAGGTTAGAAGATCTCAATCCAAGGGTTGTAAAGGACCGCTTCACGGTCAATCAAGTGGGTGGATGAACATTTATAGACCGTCGATTTCGTTCATTAACTGTCTACTTGTGCTTGGAGGTTGCAAGCTAGAGAGAGAGAGAGAATACAGTAGAGAGTCTAGAGACAACAGGTCATCAGGGCACTAGAGAGGCTCGGGCACGAGGACGGTGCCGGGTGTCCGTTTCCTCGCAACGGTTTCCGGAAGCCGTAAAGTGGATGAATGCCAGTAAACAACGTGTGTGTATGCAACTCTTGCATTTCCTCGCCCTAAGATAAAGGCTGGTGGGACCCATTCACACATTTCCATTATCCAATTTTCATAGCTCCAACCATGTCTGTAGGGCGAAGATTACAAGAGTTGCATGCATTCGTTGCGAATTATAATTCCTCGAACGAGAGAGAGACAGGACCGATGACGGTTAGTTAACCTCAACCGTGGTTACTTTCACATATTTCTCTCTCGTTGAGACTCTCTTCTCTCTCTCTCTCTCTTTCTATTTGTGAAACGAGCAGCCGATCCCGACACTCTTCTTTCCACGCGGTCACTCTTAACCTGCGTATCCTGCGCACCCGCTGTTCTCGTTCCTGGGACTCTGCAATGAGGAGTTCTTCTGAGGTTCTTTTCTTGTTCATCGTATCTGTTCTCGTCTGCTTCGTGTATCTTCCTTCTCTATCGTTCTCTCTCCTCGAGACCAAGTCGGATCTCTCTGTAGAGATCAATGCCACTGAATCCAATGGTTCACGCCCGAGATCGAGAGAGGACAGCTTCGCTGATATTATCGATCGGGCTCTAGAGAAGGAATTCACGGAAAATGAACAGACCGAAGGTGTGTGGATCTGAGCTCTCTGTTCCTTCTTTTACATACTTAATTTTTTATTCGTTAAGCGTGGAGGATGAGCTAGGGTTTTGGTTAGAGATTTCCTTTATTCCAAATCAGTGTCGAATTTGGTGTTGTCAACTTGGTACGAATAGCAGATATTTTGAAGTTCGTATTTGCCGATCAGTTGGGTGTGGCCTGAGGACAAATGTGAGCGTGATCCAATAATGTGTTTTTTCATTTTTCTTTTTAGCTTTGCTCTTCAGTTTTATTTAGTTCATTTTCAGGAAAAGTGGTTCCTACTTCCTACCATTTTTGCTTTTTAATGTGCTCGGCTTAGAATCGAATTTCTATTATCGTTAGCATAATAGTGTTTTGCTCCTTGTATCTTTTTATTTATTTATTTATTTATTTTATCTCCTTTACCGTGTTTTAAATTGATGTATATATGAAAATCGTGTGTCCCCTGTGTGAGTTGAAATATTGCTCATCGTTTCCTGAAAGTAGTTCGTTTCTCTTCCTTCTGACCGAATTAATACGGGAGACGGATCAGTAAGCAAGTATCTTAATGAGGATGGAGATTTTCCAGTTTACCATAATAATGTGTTTGACATTTTCGTTTGGAGTAACTATAATGTTTCCGGCTTGAGTCATAATGTTCTGCTGGTAAATAACATAGCTACTACTTGATTTGGATTGACTTTAGTTTAATAGAGGCAGCACATAAATACTGTTAAAGAAAGTATGATATATGGATCTTCACGAATTGAACGCCCCTAGTAATAGTACACCACAGAGATTGAAGCCCTTAATTAAATAATTCTTATTTTTTATTTTCTTTTTTCCTCTATTCTTAAAGAATGTGGTACTCAAGTCTTGAGTTACCCTGGCTTTATGATTTATTTTTGCAGAAGCTGATGCTGGTAGCTTCAACAACAGTGTTGCTGGACAACAGGTTGGTAATTGTGTTCATCATAAATCATTCTTGACTCTTAAAGGATGATATGGGGTTATCTTGATGAACTAATGTGATCTTATGAATTCATAGACGCAGTACAAGCTTTTAAAGCTTCATTCGATTGTTGACCATCTTCTGTGTTGCATCCTTGCATGAATTGTAATCAAATTATGTTAGGTAAATGTAGTTCTAGTGACATTTAATTTCAGTTCAAGCAGTCAACAAATAATCACCTGATACTATTCTGTGCAAAAACTGTTTGACATGCTGTACTTCATGTATTCATTTTGTAATGCTTTCGTCTTGTGCAACAACTGGTTGGTTGGAATTCTTTCCCAACCAAGTCCAATCTGAGGTCTTAAGATGCCACACCAAACTGGTCTGTAGTTTGGAGTTTGGATTGGTACCCATGTTGCATACCCAATCAACATTCTCAAGCCAAACAACAAGAGCTTAATGGTCATTTTTTTTGTCAACCACATGTCTACAGATCAATGAACTTAGAAAATAGTCTGAGTGCAATGAGCATAGTTTTCTTATAAACTAGGTCAGATTGAGGTGGGATATGACCAAGTTATTTTCTTATAATTTGTTTCTATAATCTAAGTTGTTTTATGACTTTGAGAATTGAGATTGAATATTTATTTATCTGTATGTAAAGAGGCTCCTAATTGGGTGTAGATTTGATAGGATTGGATCATGAATCATATTGTAAGTCTTGACAATAATTCCAGTTTTGAGAAAGTTGTTGAAAAACTAAGCTATATATGAATATATGATATAATCAATATCAATTAATCCACATATAATGGCCACATCACCCAAGTTTAATAGGAAATAAAGCAAAAAAGGTTCCTATACAGATTTTGAATGACCTAAATACGTCTTTAGTCTAGTCAATGTTCTAAAACAAAATCCTTTTAAGGATTAATAAAGAAAAGGAAATGACATGGTATGGAATTGGGTCCTAGTCAATTTAATTTGAGTTTCACAAATATGTTAAGTCATAAAATTTATTAATTAGATCACATTATAATATTGGGTTAACATTCTGAAAATAGAATAGAGTGGTGAGATTTGATAGGAATCCTTTTGATTCACAATTGAATCATGAATCATATCATAAATAATCAGATATTGACCACTTAATGGTAAAAAAAGGAAATTCAAGAAGAAAAAAGATGAGGGAAAGATGCAAAAACAAGAATTAAATGCATTGGTGAGTGCATCTCTTTTTACTATTTAACACCCCCTAATACCCGACATTCTGTCTTTTGTTAATTCAGTGGAGGTCATTGATAGAATATAGATATAGTGTCAAAAAGGAAAAAAAATGTGTGGTGTGATCTTCTCACATGCTACTTATGTTGAATTGTTATAATGTGGAGTGGTGTTGGTAGTGGAGGGTCTAGAAAGATTAATAAGAATAATAGTAATAAGAAAATCATGACATTCTTTTCAACCACAAAAATCCACTCTAAAGATGCATTTATAACATTACACTGTGGTAATAGAACCCGGTGACCTTCATGACATCTGATGTAACCGGTTCTGGTCACGTAACAATTTTTTTATTTTTTGGCTAAGTACCTCGTCATTTGACCTGCTCCTAGGTGTCCTGTGACTTAGAGGATGGTGGCGCTCCCTGGTGGCGAACTGCCTGGGGGAGAGCTATGCTGAGCTCCCTGATGGCGAACTGCTTGGGGGAGAGCTATGCCGAGCTCCCTGATGGTGAACTGCCTGGGGGAGAGCTATGCCGAGCTCTCTGGTGGCGAACTACCTGGGGGACAGCTATGCCGAGCTCCCTGATGGCGAACTGCCTGGGGGATAGCTATGCCGAGCTCCCTGATGGCGAACTTCTTGGGGGAGAGCTATGCCGAGCTCCCTGATGGCGAACTGCCTTGGTGGACTCGTCACTTGACCTGCTCCTAGGCGGCTTGCGACTCAGAGGATGGTGGAGCTCCCTGGTGTAGCGCAACCCGTCTGCCCTCTGCATGAGGTGATCTTCCCTCCTTTGTAGGCGGCGGGAGCTGAGGGACCTGCGAGAACTTCATCTCTTCCTCCTCTTTGCAGGCGGCGGGAGCCGAGGGACCTGCGAGAACTCCATCTCTTCCTCCTCTTTGCAGGCGGCGGGAACTGAGGGACTTGCGAGAACTGAATCAGGGGACCCGGGGGTATTTGCCCGGCGGGGACTCTCCGATGCTTAAGTTAGCACTCTGATTGTAGAGAGCTTGAAGATGATATTAGAGAAATGAGAGAGCTAGAGAGCAGGGATTACCTCCATTTTCCTTCATTTTGTTGTCTTTGCTGGTCGGAGTCCTTATATAGTGGTGTCCTGTCAAATCAGGCGTAACAACTTCTGTCAAGTCAAGCATAACCACCTCTGTCTCTCTGTTGTAGCTGTTACTGCCAGAGCTGAGGTGGCGGGTGGAGGCAACTGTTGCAGAGTACGGCTCTGCCAGGCAAGGGACAACTCTCAGGGCTGGCAGGCACGACGCCGCCTGACAAGAGACGTGGGCACAGGTCTCCGGATCTGTTAGGTACGGTTGTCAGGCAGGAGATCTTCCTGCGATATGCCGAACTGCTCTTCTATACCGAGCTACCCTACAAGTGGCGAGCTGCCTGGGGGGGGAGCTATGCCGAGCTGCTTGTGACGAGCTCTGCCGAGCTGCCTCTGGCGAGCTCTGCCGAGCTTCCTGTGGCGAGCTATGCCGAGCTGCCCAGTTGTCAAGAGGCTGTACTTGGTTTGCATGAGGTGCTAGGTGTCACAATTTCACTGGAGGGCCAAATCCGCCCTCATCAACATCTAACCTACCATCACAAGGGTATCTGCTAGTGTTGTACTTTATTTTATTTTTTTTAATCAATACTAGGATGTATACCTATGCATTTACATGTTTAAATAATCACACCATGCCTGCCACTGGGATGGCTCCATATTTTTAATTGTTGCTGATGCCATCCCTTTTGGTTGGGTGGAATCTGGTCTTGGTTCTATTGTAGATTGTAATTCCTAGTAAATATGTTTGTTGGAGTTTTGCAATTCTGGCTCTAGTTTTGGTTGATTGCCCTATATTCATTCTCAGATTAAATCAAGTTACTTGTTTACTTCTTGGTCTTTCCTTTTCTTTTAATTGGTCAAGGCAAATTTGTTCAGAAACTATGTATGCATTGTATATGCTTGTTTATCTGAAATTGAAGTTTTTTGCATAAACTTGAAAATTGCAATTCATATGCTTATCAAGAAAGTTCATCATACTGTGGTAGAGGTTAATGCTATGTTAAATCTTGGTCTTATTTTACTTTTCTTACTTGGTTCTTTAGGATAATGGAACTTGGAATACTTTTTTGCTGAATATTTCTCTGTGTTTTTGTTTCCCAGGCGGTTCTGGAAACTGTAGCTAGAGTTAAGCCCAAGAAAAATGACACCAAGGAGGAGAAGTATATACTTCTATCATGTGAATAAATAAATGATTTTCATAATTTGTGGTCCATTAGGAAGTTTTCTTTATCAGTACAAGGAGAATATACACTCCATTAAACTTCTACCTTGCTATCTTAATTTCAATTTCTGCTCACCTTTTTGAATCTCTTGTTTTAGGTCATTTCAACTTCATGATGTATTCAATTTAGATAATGAGAATCGAGCTGAAGATACACCAACATTAATAGATCGACGGGTACATTTTGTATAAATAGAAAAATTTTCCAGGTTGGAACTTCTGTAGTCTGGGCGACATTGTTGGTCAACATATCCTGATATAATAATTGGAACTTTCAGGACAACGTCTTCATTATATCAAATCCCAAATCAAAATATCCTGTTCTACAATTGGACTTAAGGTGGGCTAACTTGTTTCTTTCCTGCCATGAAATCATGACTAAAGTTAGCCTGTACACTTTACCAAACTTTTGGATTTACCTTATTTGCAGGTTAATATCAGATTTGGTAGTTGTCATTGTATCTGCTACTTGTGGTGGAATTGCCTTTGCATGTGCTGGACAACCGGTCTGAAAACTATCTTTGCTCTAAGCTTTGTTTATAATTAACTGCAATTCTTGGTAAATTGTATGTTGTTGCACTTATGGCTTTGACACAATTTCTCTGGAATTTACTTCCAAAATCTCTATAATATCCTCTAAAGGTGTGCATTTTATCCACTTTGAATTTCTTGCAGGTTATTACTGGATATTTACTGGCTGGATCTGTTATTGGACCTGGAGGCTTCAGCTTCGTTAGTGAATTGGTGCAAGTATGTTGTTGTTATTTATTTTTTTTCAGTTATATCCCCTTTAATGTTGACTAGCGTTTTTAACTGTTGGTGAGACTAATGTTTTATATCACTATATGTTGATTTAAGATACGACAAATTTTGCTGCAATCTGTAATTTTGAATAAGGGAGAATCTCCATCCTATGCCATGGAACACTTCAGATTTGGGTTTCATGTCTCAGGCAGATGCGTGGTTTATTTGTCTTCAGTTTATTTTCATATCACTATTCATTTTCTGACCAATATTTCCATGTGTAGGTTGAGACAGTAGCACAGTTTGGTGTAATTTTCCTGCTTTTTGCTTTGGGCCTGGAATTCTCAGTAACAAAGGTTGGCTCACGTAAACCTTAATGCATGCTCTTTTCTCCTCTGGTTCTGATTCAGATCTCTTCTTTCATTCCTTCCTTACCATTGTTGTCTTTCCCTAACAATTTGCAGCTCCGTGTTGTTCGAGCAGTTGCTGTTCTAGGTGGTCTGCTCCAGATTTTCCTATTTATGTGCTTGTGTGGCATAACTGCCTCAGTATGTCTAATTGTTCTCTTGACTATTTTAAGGAACAATATTTAGTAATTTTGGACCATATTTCCTGCCATGGGTGTAGCTTTACAAAAGCCAAGATACCAGTAACCTGCAAGTGCTTTTCTAGGCATCAGCCCAACTAAAAATATGGCATATTGTCTTTTTCTGTAAACTTGCAGAACATTTTCACAATTTTAAACAAGAACTTTTTTTTTTTGATTGGTGAAACCAGAATTGATTTTGCCAGTTGACAGATGACAATCTGACAATTAAGTTCCTTGTGAGATTGCTCTAGCGCTCATTGAAATTGAAATCATGCTGTAAATTGTATAGATGGTTGAGTAAAATCAAGTTATGAATATATGTTTATTCTAAAGATTAAATAAATAACAAAATTATTTTTATTGCATTTTCTATTCACCTCCAGTGTATAAGTAATTATACAATAAATGTAAGATCATAAACACAAGTTTGACTATAATGAAACATAAACCGAAAAGGGTTCTTACATAACTCAAATATGCTAGTGTGTGGCCATTTATTGGGATGTTTGGTTGGAGGAATTGAGTTGCCAATTCAGATATTTTTTTTTTGAGAAGTAAACGTGGTTTTTTGTGTACTAGTGTATTCTTGAGGATACACAAGGGGGTAGCCCATCCCCATACCCTTAACTCCCCCAAACCCTGATGGCAATGGGATAGCGAATTCCGATTTTTAAATTTGCCACAGCAGCTGATTCCTCAAATCAGTGTGAAAAACTCATTTGGTAAGACTGATTCCTTAAAATCATTTAAGAAATTGGTTAGACCTGATTTCCATGATTTTGTGTGATGCTCTAATCTTTGGGGGTGATTTTTTCCATGACAGTGACATGTCTGTGCCAACAATGTGCAAAAACAATAATTTTGACCTAAACATGTCTTATTTTTGTAAGGGTTTTAACAAAAAGGCCAATTGGCAAAAGCTAAAAAGGCAAAAAAGTGACTGACCCAATGTTGGTCTCATCGACCTTGGATAAGTTTGGCTGTTTGGAAAAAACAGCCTGGGCTGTCTTGAAGCTTCATGTGCATGACATGTTAGCATGGGTGTCTGGTAAAAGAGTAACTGCAATCAATTTTTAATTAAAAAGACAAATAAAAGAGTAATTTCAATCAATTTTGTTTCAATCAATTTGGAAAAAACAGCCTGGGCTGTCTTGGGATTCATGATTTGAATTATGAATTTGTATTTCCCCATGATATGCGGTCCCATCTTATTTGGCTACAGTTTGTCCGTGCTGCATATAACCTGTTTTCATATTTCTATTGTTTGTTTCCCAAGAATGAAAACTTCATTTGAGAATCGCATTATTCAACTATTTCCATGTCCTGTTGTTCCACAGGGCATGCCCCAAATTTGGTTCAGTAGTCTAAAGGCTGTGATCCTGTATCTTTATCTCAGTCCTTATTTCATAAAATATTAAAATTTCCTCCTGCTTAATATATGAACATGATGCTGAACTTTGGCTTGCAGAAGAGTTTTTAGAAAATATAAACATCTGTATTGCACTATCTTCTTCTTCTCTCTTTCCTACAGTTCTGATATATGCAACTGCATGTTTCTACAGTTATGTGGCGGTAAAGCTTCAGAGGGGATCTTTGTGGGTGCATTCTTGTCAATGTCTTCAACAGCAGTGGTAACTCTCTGATACATGTTTTGTTTTACAGTGGAAATTTTGTGTACTATAATTGAATGGATTTACTTGTATATTGTGTTGCCTGTGGTTAATTACCTATTATCTTTCTTATGTATATTTTAAAGTCTTGCAGGCACTAGGCAGATATGTCTCCTAGTGCAAGATCAAATGGAGTTCTTTCTTTAATATACTGCTATTCTTGATTAGATCTACCTTTTCTTTCTTTATCTGATCTATGGTGGTGTGCGTTCTTAACTTCTTATGTGTTGTATTATCAATTTAAAAAGAAACTAAACAGAGGAGAACCAGAATATATCTGGTTTCAGGGGTAACCAGTATGATGTTCTTCTTTCCACTTCTTCTTGGACTCAAAAGTGTTACAGCTGCATTGCCCTCATATTTTAGGGCAATAAGATTTTGAAGCAGTCTCAGACACCTCTAATGGGTTTCGACACTAAATGGTGGCACATGGAGTACAAGTATTTATTTCCTCCATTAAAAGGGTCATTGTTTTTGAAGCAAGACACAAATAAAAAAAGGCTAAAAAATAAAAAAAATGTCAGAAAATTCAAAAAAAAAACGCCAAAAAATTAAACATAATATTAATAAAAAATATAAACTTAAATTTTAAAAGAAATGTTTTAAAAAAGTAAAAGCTCTATTATCTAAAATTAAAATACATAAACATAACATGTAAAGCATATTCAAATGAGAATTTAAAAATAAAATCAAACATATAAAACATTTTCAAGCATGTAAAACCCACAATCTCTTTTTTTCCTCAATTGCATTACTTCAAGTAGCTAATGTGATGTAAAACATATTACATTCCTGATTCTACGAGCCGCATTTGTGCCACGCCCCTGGCCTAGCTGCTAGGTTCAAAAAAAGCAAAAAAAGGTCAAATTTTCAAAAGGTGCATGCCTGGGCTGAGGCGCAAGGCGCATCAGATGCACCAGGTATGCGCCTTTTGAAAGGGCTGCGCCTATGACCTAGGCGAGGCGTGTACCTTAAAATGCGCCTCGTCTGTGCAGGCACGCCTTTAAATCACTGGTGATGCTTGGACTACATTAAAATCACAGGTGTATGACTCTTTCAAGATTAAAGATTAATGATCACCTACAACACCAGTAAAAAGATGTTGACTTGCAAGTTGAAGAGTTAAATGCTGGTTAAAGCAAAATGAAAAGACTCCCTGGCTCCATAGAAATGAAATTAAGAAGTTTAAATGCTTTTCCAAGGACATGCAGTTAATACAGTGGACTCCAAGAGCGGCAAATGGCTTTGCAGATCAGCTAGCAAAACAAGGGGTTAACAGGGAACATTGTTTCTGGGCTCAGTTGTAAGTCTGGATAATTAAAAGTCGATAGTTGGCAAACTCTAAATTCTAGTGGGGTAGCCGAGGCTACTCATTTCTGTAATCTTTCTAAATTTATAATGAAATTTCTCTTGCTGATAAAAAAAAAAGTTGAAGAGTTAGGGGCAGGGCAAAAAGAGCATGGATTGAAACAGCCTAGGAAATTTACTGGTTATTTTTTCAGGGTCTATTGGTTTCAATAACTCTTCAAGGTAGAACTGATGGCCATATTGGAGGGTTTGAGAAAATCCAAAAGTTTTGATTACAGAGATCTGGTGGTGGAAGTGGACTCAATGTACTTGTGGGATGTTAGCAATAACAACAATGGTTCTTGAAGATATGGGCTTACAGTAAGAGAAACTCTAAAGTTGGTTTGGGAATTGCAGGCAACATCCAAAGGTCAGGTAACAGCTTAACAGATGCATTAACTATGCAAGGGGTCAGCGGGTTTCTACTGGGGGGGGGGTGAGTGGGTGGGGGTTCATCCCCCATGAAAGTTATATGTAAGTTGAATGTATGAAATTGGGGTTAGGTTGCTGGGTGTATCCTATCTTCCAAGTAACTAGATGGCTGTTTGTATCTCAATAAAAATGGGAGGTTCCTTAAAATATATTTTGGCACTGCTGGAGGGTTGTTCTTAGAGCCTAGAGGTGTGGAGGTTTTACTATTTGATCTACGGAGGGTTGTTCTAAGAATCTAGAGGTATGAAGGTTTTACTAACTGATCTATTAGCCACAGGCAGGTTGGGAGACCAGAGATCGTGTGGGGGGCACCAACCTCAGGGGTGCAGCAGCTTTTGTTAATCCCCTATCGTGTTCTCTTTTTATTTGGGTTGGGATCCATATGGGACCTCCCTCCTGTAAAGAAAGGAAGAATAGGGGATGGATCACCCAGTCAACCCACTTAATTTTTTGGTTTATTGGCTGATTCAAGCAAGGGGTCCTACACTACATGACCACATAAACATGCATGAAAGAAGGGGTGATTAATTAACTTTTTAGATGTATCTTTCTCTTTGATGCCTAGACAGGCTCAGAATGGGTGCTAAGGTTCCATGCCTTAGTGAATTTTCTCTTAATCACATTATGTAGTCTATTCTTTTCCTATTCTCTTTGTAGTGTTTTTATCTTGTTGTTGGAATCCCTTTTACCAATATAAAAAAGGAAAGAAAATAAAAAGATATTGATACGTGTTTCAACTTGTCTGCACCCTAGGTTTTGAAGTTTTTGATGGAAAGAAATAGTATAAATGCTCTACATGGCCAGGTCACAATTGGGACCCTTATTCTCCAGGTATGGAACATCTTCTTATATTCCATTTATGAATGCCATTTTAATTAACTTTTAATACATATCATGAGCTGACTACTTACTGGGAATTCAACCACCGAACAAAAATATTTTTTTATTGCCACATTAGTCAATTTGAACATTTGTGTATTTTTTGAGAAAAAGTATTGTATTACTTTTTTAGAAGCTGTTACCATCTAAAGTGAGAAACTATACAAAAAATGTAGGTAGGCTCAAAACTTTCTAGCAAGTATCACAAAAAGAAAGTAGCAGACTCAAAAAAAAAAAATTGGTGGGAGATGTGCTTAAATAAATCTGTCACAGCTACCCATTAATGTACAGACCCAATTGTTCTCCTAGTGATTTCTTCCACAGAACTGCTTTTTTCTTTAAATATTCTCTGATTTCTTCATATAAGCAGACTCGTGGTTGAACTCTAAGTTTTCTTCATGTACCAGGATTGTGCTGTGGGTTTACTGTTTGCACTGCTTCCCGTTCTAGGTGGTACTTCTGGTGTTCTTCAAGGAGTAATATCCATGACTAAGTCGTAAGTAAAGAGCCTGCAAATTCCCTTCCCCTTTTTAGTGGTTCCTGTTCCTTTTACTTTTGATGAAATTATTAACTAGTATTGCAGATGGATAGAAATTCATTTCTATGTATGAAGTGATTGGATGGAAATAAAATGTATTGAAAGGAAAAACAAGAAAATGGGGGAATGGCCTTTACGTGATTCTTAATTTTTTCAAATAAAAATTGGTAACAGATCAAGCAGGCTTAATACTTCAAAAGTTAAGAGAAAGAATGTATAATACAATGGGAGAGAAAAAGTAGAAAAGCAAAGGGCATCATCCCTAGTCTGTTTCACACAGTGTTTCCATACTTACCTTCAGAGAATCATTTCCTTCTGATCAGCTATAGCAGCCTAATGCAACTCATTTTTTCTTATCCTTCTTCTTGCACTGCCCTCTGGTTGTCAGTATTTGGATGCACTTTTTTCAGCTATTTTGTAGAGTTTGAGTGATCCCCAGGAGTTTAGCAAAGCTAATCTCAGTTTGGTCTACCTTGGAGCTAATCAGGAAGGGTAACATCCTCTGGAAATTGTATCCTTTTTGTTGGTCTATTTGGGTGGAGAGGTAATGGCAGAATATTTGATAGGGAAATAAATCCAAGAGACAAAATCATAGCCAATGCTGAGAGACTCCTTATTCAATGGCCTTCTATTCTAAAAGGAATTGAGAGGCACATCCTACATTCAAGCTACAGACAATTGGGTGCAAATTGTATCCAACCTAAGCTATGTCAGTTGACTGTCTTATCCCTTTGTATTTATCTCTCTATAGAATATAGCTCCTTGTACAGTTTTGAGGAAACTTCTTCCTCTTTTATTTTATATAAATTCAAATACCATTTACCATTTATAAAAAAGGGGGTCATTACCTGATGTTCTTTGGGGAAAGAGGCAGGATTTCCTCAATAGCTTTCCATGGGTCCATCAATGTTACATTTGAAGCAAATCCCCAATTCCAACTCCCCAACATATGTACTGATATTTCTTTTTTTTTTAATGAATTGTATCCATAAGCTATGCTAGTTGACTGTCTTATCCCTTTTTATTTATCTCTCTATAGAATATAGTTCCTTGTACAGTTTTGAGGAAACCTCTTCCTCCTTAATTTTATATAAATTCCAATACCATTTACCATTTATAAAAAAGGGGGTCATTACCTGATGTTCTTTAGGGAAAGAGGCAGGATTTCCTCAATAGCTTTCCATGGGTACATCAATGTTAAATTTGAAGCAAATCCCCAATTCCAACTCCCCAACATATGTACTGATATTTCTTTTTTTTTTATGAATTGAATTAATAATTTGAATATATTATCTTTGTTCCAAGGTGATTATGAACTTCACTCTTGAGATATTCTTAATTGTGTTATTTTGTGTCGAACAATGGCTATTTGTTGATACTGAACTTTCCCTCTATCAGGTTGGTTCTGTTGATTTCATTTTTGGCAATTTTGTCAATACTGTCTCGTGCGTGTGTACCTTGGTTCCTTAAGCTGATGATAAGTCTATCATCGCAGGTGTGGCTTCTATTAAATGACAGAGCTACTAGAAAATGATTTCAGTCTTATATTCTATTATGCTGAAGTGCTTACATCTTATCATGATTTTGACTGGTCTTATCCGTGCAGACAAATGAACTTTATCAGCTGGCTTCAGTTGCGTTTTGTTTACTTGTTGCTTGGGTTTGTCTCTCTTCTCAGGACTTGGACTTGTTTGCATTTCTTGTGTTAGCTTTGATGTGTTTGTTTTATCTTCACTTTGTGATCATATTTTCTTTTTATTTGATTGGTAATAGATAACTGTAACTTTATTAATGAAAGGAAATTGTAGAAAACTACAATGAACCAATCAAAATAACCTATGATAAGTAGTGGTGGAAAAATACAAAGAACCACTTTGTAATCATAATTGTTGCAATAACCTCCATGGCTCCATAGCAGTTAAGACCTTAGAAAGTAGAAATTATTTGTACCCTCCACAGTCTTAAATCTTTAAAGATAACCTTAAGTCTTCATTTGGTAATTGTGCAGACAGTCTGTTACCATAAAATACATATGGTGCTTATTAGTGCATGGCCTTGGTTGCTCAGCCAGCCACAGTCTTAGGCCAGTTGGAGTTCTCAAACTCTCTCAAGAGCTTCCTCCTTTGCCAGTTTGCTGTTGTCCCATATGATCCATTTCCATTGATTAGAGAAGTGATAAACCCATTTGAAGGCTAAGAGGAGATACGGGTATTTATGTCCCTTGGGATCACCCAATACTTTCCAAGTAACTGTAAAAGTGTGTCCAACTGCTACAAGTAAACTGCAGTGAGCCAACATATGTGATACAGATACCTCCTCTTGACTACAAAGACAGCAAGGATGGAAATTCTTTGTTCTTTTCTTTTCCTTTGGAGCTTTTGAACTCACTGTGTTAGTTTTCTTCCTTCAAAATTGGTGTAGCTTTTTTACTTTCATTCTATTAATAGAAATGATAGATATACTATTAAAGGGTGATCACATTGTAGTAATTAGGGCACATTGTTAGCCTCTTGTAACATGGTTCTCACATTGGTCTTTGTCCCCTTTCTTTCTCTATGGTACCTGTACAACTTTGTTACTAGAATGCTTATATTTCATCTTCATGTTTTCTAACTCTCTTTTTTGTTCTTTTTTAATTTTACCATTTCAGTGTAGTGATAAGCTTGGTCTAAGCCTTGAATTAGGTTCCTTTGCTGCGGGTGTGATGATATCAACCACTGATCTTGCACAACATACACTTGAACAGGCAAGTCTGTTTTTTATTTTGTTMTYTCATTAGAGGTGCTTGAATTTAATGATTGATTTTCTGCCTGTAATTTTCAGCATTTTGAGTGGGGGCTTCTTGTATTCTTTAGATGATTTTATTTGTTTATTTTCTTATTTCATGAATGATAAGAAGTTTAATGTGACACTATACTATTTTCTTTCTTACAAACTAAGGAAGCGATTTGTGTTATATGCCTCAAACAAATGGAGCAAAATCTTCTGATAGGGATGACTAAAATGTAATTCACAACCAGGCAGTAGCTTGTAGATTTCTTAGCACGACTGCAGGTTTCAAGAGAATTTCTTTTATGGGGATCACCTAGGCAGGGGGGAACCTTGTAAAAGTATAACTAGGAAACTGGTATTGGTCTGCAATACACTGTTCCTGTACATTGCATTTCAAATTTCTGAATAACAGGAATCATTGAACTTTTCTTTATAATTACAAGTGAGTTGTGAACAATTGAAACATAATTTATGTAGAGGCAAGACATTTTCTTGACATTTTAATTATCAGGTTTTGGCATCTGTTCCAGGATTGTACTTATTTTCTTTACCTATTTTAGTTAGTTAAGTGGTTTCCTGGGATGGGCTAACCATTTTTCTGATGCTGTGGGTAAATTTATATGAATTTAATGGAGTTTGAATAAATTCTTAAGCATCAGGCCATATATAGTTGTATCAACACTTGGTGGCTTTAGCAGTTAAAGTGACTTGATGCATGGACTAATTCTTGGTTTGTTCTGTTTTGCAGGTTGAACCCATTCGCAACTTCTTTGCTGCTCTTTTTCTTGCCAGCATTGGAATGCTTATCCATGTCCATTTCCTTTGGAACCATGTTGATATTTTACTTGCAGCTGTTATTTTGGTGATCATTATAAAAACATTTGTGATAGCTACAGTCGTTAAGGGATTTGGCTACAACAACAAGACTTCAATTCTTGTAAGATTTTATTTGGCTTACATGGATATTTTGTGCCTTCTGAAATCAGATATTTTGTACCATTGAACCATGTATATTGCATTTGATGATGAAACTTGGGTTCTTTATTCGTAGGTTGGGATGTCTTTGGCACAAATTGGGGAATTTGCTTTTGTTCTCCTCAGTCGTGCATCAAATCTTCATTTGGTTGAGGTTGGTATTTTCCCTTTTTTTCATTACTTCTTTTCAGAGTGGTCTTATATCAGATTAATATCCCTTTGCTCGAGTTTAACAAGTGCACAATAAGAGTATTAAGCCTCCTCTTGCCAATTACTCCAAGTTTATTCATCTTTACAGGGAAAACTGTACCTGCTGCTTCTTGGCACAACAGCTCTTAGTCTGGTATGTGGTGTGGCTTTGGAATCATGTTGCAACTAATATTTGCATTTCAGTTCTTGGGAATCGAAGCACATGGGGATATACATTTTACATATAACCTAAACTAATCCAATTTAGAGACGAGTATTTGGATGACAAAGAAGGCACAGTAGTATGGCAAGGATCATCCAATCGGTTTTCTACATGATCTCTGCCATGAGCCAATTGAATGGCATGCCAGGATCATTGATTTTTCATATTGGCTTGATCTGTTTAATTGATTAGGAAATTACTGCAAAAGGTTCACAAGTTCTTTGTTCTGCATCATTGGTGGAACCATCACCTCAGAAGTCTCTTTGAGGGAGACTTAACCTCCTGAAAAAGAGAGAAATGGAGAGAGAGAGAGAGAGAGAGAGAGAGAGAGAGAGAGAGAGAGAGAGAGAGAGAGAGAGAGATTAGGAAGATAAGAGAAGGTAACAATCATTCATATTAATACGCTACCACTGAAACAGTTGCCAAGCAATTCTGGAATTAGAAAGGTAGCGGCAGTAAAACATATCACATCCACTATGGGGTAGGAATATGGTCATGGGATCACACATGCAGATTTTAATAAATCATATTTTTGCTAATGAGGTTGCTCTGCCAGATTAGAGTCACTAGACAATTTGGTGTAGGTTAGGTATGGGTTGAACGGACTTAGAATCCATGAAGCAATATATTTGCTTGGGCATGGTTTTTGTCTTTGCAAGAGCAATTTCTTCCTATAGTTAGTTTATTCTGACTTTAAGAGTTTGTGTGGATCACTTAGACTTCAGTAATGCAGGTGACCACTCCATTGCTTTTCAAGTTGATACCTGCCGTTGTACATCTTGGAGTGCTATTGCGGTGGTTCTCCCCCGATAGTGGTCAAAGTGAGGTAATTTTTCTGCCATGACATCTGTCACCTCTCATGGTTTGGTTGCAGTTTGGTGGTCTTATCCTTGTCATAGTATGTGATTTAAGATATGTATATATTTTTTTGATGAATAATGTGGTTTAAGATATTTTGAATATGATTTGGACGTCCAGATTGGGTTTAAAGCAGATGGACATCGTTCAGACAGTAGTAAACGTATTGCTCTGATGGTCCAAGGCTCCCGAAATTCATGATTTTAGAAAGAAAAGCAGAAATGAAATTTCATGTCTTACCTGGTTGGACTTGATGCTCTGGAGGACAGAGTGCAAATGGAGGTAGAGTGACCGAGTGAGTCACAAATTACTGTCTTATAAAAAGCTCTTCTTGATGTTCTCTATCACGTATCTGACCAAGTGAATCAAACCGAATCGGAGAAGTGGGAATATTAACAGGAAGTCCCAATGCCAAGTAACTTGGAGAGCGTCCAAACCTGGGACCTTGGTTCATTCGAGTCGTCGTCACACAG